TTATTGAAATCTTATCGTCATAAGACTCCTGTAGAGTAATAGTTTTGGTGTTTTAATACTTATAAAACTTCGTTTTACACTTGACGAATCAGTATAATTGTTTTGTGTATTTATTGAAATCTTATCGTCATAAGACTCCTGTAGAGTAATAGTTTTGGTGTTTTAATACTTATAAAACTTCGTTTTCCACCTGACGAATCAGTATAATTGTTTTGTGTATTTATTGAAATCTTATCGTCATAATTCTCCTGTAGAGTAATAGTTTTGGTGTTTTAATACTTATAAAACTCCGTTTTCCACCTGACGAATCAGTATAATTGTTTTGTGTATTTATTGAGATCTTATCGTTTTGTCAACTATTTTTATATTACATATAAAACCGGCCACTGATTATACCATATACTTAGGCCTATGCTTTTATAATAGTTTATCTGTGTTTTAACATATACTTAACAATATATACATTTCTCACTAAAATCATGTTTTTAACACAAGTAAATTAATTAACTACAATAGCATTATTTTGAAGTGGTATCACTCAAATAGCGAATTTTTTTGTTTGGCGTTTAAAAATTTCAGGAAGTGACAGCGTCCTAAATTTATTCCATAATCCAAGTAGGCCTAAGTTAGCAGCGTAACTGTATTGATATAGATTTTTTGGTTTTAACATGTTATAATACAATGCTTAGGGACAACAAGGAACCTACGGATCCATCTATGTTGTCCCATCCTCTATATTAAACTAAAACTATTAAATAAAAAAATAAAACATCCAAAGCACCTCCCAGTGCACAGCGGCATGTCTGCGGACTTACAACGCTAGAAACCTGGTTTCGATACCCGTGGTGGGCAGAGCACAGATAGCCCATTCTGTAGCTTTGTGCTTATCTTCAAACAGACAAAATATCTAAAACCAGCCCTTATCATTCATATAGTTATCAAGCTATCTCCTAAACTCACTTAAAATTAACTGCCTTCACAACATCCGAAGGCAATCCGTGTCATACACCAACCACCCTGTTAGAAAATAAAACTGTCTTTGTTGAAGATGACTCCTACCCTGCCAAAATTTATATTTGTGACCCCTAGTCCTATTATTCTCACTGCTAAGTATGAAAAAAAAAGATAATGCATCAATACTACCAATTCCATTTAGAATCTTAAACACCCGTCTAACTATTCTTTTTTTTCAAAAGAAAAAATTCAGATATCTTAACCTGTCATTGTACAAAAACATTTTCATCTCAGGCAACATTCTAGTAACCCTTCTCTGAACCCTTTCCAACAACTCAACCCAGCCAACATTTTAGTAACCCTTCTCTGAACCCTTTCCAACAACTCAATGTCCTTCCTAAGGTAAGGAGTACAAGAACGAACACAATATTCCAGTGACCTGTACAATGAAAGTATAAACACTTTAGACTTGTATTAAATATTTCTATTGATACAACCTAAAACCCTATTTGTCCTACCACTAGCAACAGCACACTGCTTGGATGGCTTTAGAGACTGATCGACTATTACACCAAGATCCCTTTCCTTCATAACACTATTAAGGTTATTCCCATCCAAATTATATTTATAATTCAAATTATGATATTCCACGTGGATTATTTTGCATTTATTATAATTAAAACTCATCAGCCATTTATTTATCAAAATCCTTTTGTAAATCAGCAGCGCCCTCTTCACAGCTAGCAACACCTAAGACCTTAATATCATCTGCAAATTTAAGTAATTTA